GGATTTATGTTGGCTTTTTATAACAATTTCCTTTCAGCTTTCTCTTTCAACCACCTATCAGTTCAGTCACATTAAAAAGGTACATTTTCTAGACTGTGTCATACTATTTTTATTGTCTCCTAATAATAACCTCCTATAGTCCCCACCACCAGTAAAAGGAAATGGTTGTAGTCGCAGGGTTAGAATAGTGCAATCACCTTTGTTTTGACATTTAGTTGACAGCTGACAACAGGCCTTTTTTTTTTTTGGCTTCTGACTCATGTTGCTCTATCACATCTGCATGTTCTAGGATGAGAACATTCTAGTACAAATTTGACTGCAAACATATTTTACTCAATGAATCTGTGAGGTAGCATAAGATAGCCTGGTTCACAAAAGGGACAGGTGACTATTACATTAGGGAAAAACAAATTGTTTCTTAATTCGTTATAATCCCAGCTCCAGCAAGGAAAGGGAGCAGACACAATATCAAGAATTTGGGAAGTCTCTCACAGTCAGCAATTTATACAATACAAATTCCAAAATGAATCAGGGAGACAGTGAGCTTTTCAACATGCACACATAGCTTGAGAACTACTTGAAAATGCACAGAGGATCTGCTGGAAAAAAAGATTGTAAGGCATTAGAATTTGGTTCGAAACAAACTGGACAGCTTCAATGTTAGAAACTGCATGCAGGTCATGGGAAAAAGAGGGTATGGGCATTCCTTTCCTTTCTTCCTATTTTTCCCCTTTATAGTTTTAACATTTTCATAGAGAATTCTTCTGTCTAAGAAAATTAATTTACATAAACCCATTGAAGTGAATGGATTCTCCCTAAAGGAAAAAGGCATTTTTTTCAGGGTAAGGATTTTTTTTTTATTTAGGTTAGAAACAATCTTGTTTCACATGTCAATCCCAGCTCCCTCTCCTTCCCCTCCTCCCCCACCCTCCCCACCAGGCCCCCAGTCCCTCACCCAATTTCCACTCCAATCACCAAGTAGGGTGAGGCCCTCCATGGTGGATCTCCAGTAACTGTCATTTCATCCAGAGCAGGGCCAAGGCCTTCCCCCAAGAGTCCCAGCTGAAAGAGCCTCCCATATTGTGGAATGGGCACTCAAAGTCTATTTGTAAGCCAGGGATAAATACTACCCAAGGCCCCATAGATTACCTTGGTTTCCTCACTGACACCCACATTCAGGGGGGGCTCGGTCAGTCCCATGATTTCCACACAACCGTCAATCTGTAGTCCAAGAGCTCCCCTTGTTCAGGTCAACTCTTTCTGTGGATTAAACCATCCCACTCTTAATTCCTTTGCCCATCAGTTATCTCTTTCTGACACTGGATTCTAGTTCAGTTCAGTTCAGTGTTTGTCTGTGGGTATCTGCCTCTGTTTTCATCAGTAGCTGGATGAAAGTTCTGTTTCCTAGACTCTCTGGCAGTGGGATTGTATGCTGGCACTCCCCTGATTCATGTCTAAAATCCATAAATGAGTGAGTACATACCATGTTTCTCTTTTTGTGACTGGGTTACCTCGATCAGTATGGTTTCTTCTAGTGCCATCCATTTGAAAGAGACATTTTTTTATTTGAGTTGGTTTCACTAGAGCATCATTTAGAAAAGTACACAATTGTCTTAGCAAATTAACTCATTGTCAGAATATTTTTCGAGTGCCTTTATGATGGGATTAATGTTGAAGGCGGAGGCCACATGCTTTCTCTTAAGAATTTGGCCATAAATGATCACTTTGTGACTAGGCTACTAGAGATAAACTATCCTAGAGCTTGTCATTTGGTGCTTATTGCAGAAATTCTAGTTGATGTTCTTTCAAGTGAGGAATATTTTTAAGGTCATCCATTAAAGGAGGCAAGGTTGAGCTCTGACCCTGTTTCCTGGGGAAACATTCAGGTAGGTCCCACCCAACCCAGCCTTCTATGAACCATTTACTTGCCTGTGGGGCTGGGGCTTGAGAATGTGATGTTACATCACTCTCTTAATTAAGGTATGCTATGTGGCAGAGACTTCCAAGGCTTAGGCTTAATTAAGCTTCCAAAGCAACTAGTTATGAGGTAATCCCGGAAGACTTCCCTGGGTAGGGCAATGATCTAATTAGGTAGACCCTTAAAGGGAATCAGGCCTCATTGAAAAGAAGACATTTGAAGAGAGGGCAGCTTTCTTGTAAATGGCTTATGGTGGTGGCCACAGAACAAAGACCAGAGAGTAGTTTCTAGGAGCTGACAGTAAGGCCCTCTACCACCAACAAATGAAATAATGCACCTGGGCACTCTCCCACACATGTGCACTAATGAAGGGACTGAAGTCTCCAAAAATCTGATATCATTAACATACCACGTTTTTTGACACCTACCCTATTTTTTATGGACTTTTCTAGAATATCATGAGAATTACCCCCCAAAGGAGCTTCAGTCCATCACAACAGGAGGGAAAAAGGAATTCCCTTACTCCATGAGTATGCCAGCCACTGAAAAATAGTCATATGAACTCCTTTATAATTCACACTCCAGAATCCACTGGACAGCTCCCTGCCCTGGGGCAACCTGCTCCAATCTTGGGAGTGTTTGTTTAGCTGAGCGTTGCTAAATATCTGCTTAAATTGTGTATGGCTCTTGACTAAACTCAAGCAGACAAGAACTGAAGACACCCAGAAGAGTCTGTAGCTTCGCAAACTAAAACTCTCACAGGGTTAACTCAGTGAACATGGAGCCAGGCTGATGGCCAGAAATCCCCAGCAGTCCTCCCGTCTCTGTCTCTCCCAGCTCTGCAGTCAGGGATGACCACACCTTGCTTTTTAACATGAGTGCGAGGATCCAAACTCTGGATTCCATACTTAGCGAGTGCTCTTACCCACTGAGCCATCTTTCCAGGCCCAAGAAACCAGTTTTTCAGCTTTTTTATCACCTGTTTGAAGAACTGACATTTGTCCCTCAGTGAGGTATAATGTTTCAAAATATTCCCCGATGAACAGTTCCAGGAAGTTTCAGGGAGGCCAGGCTCAGTAGACAGCTTAAATATTTCCTCACTGTCACACCTATCACGTGTAAGATATAATCACCCAATAGGGAAAAGATACAATGGGCTGCCTTTCCCCCAAATAGGAAGTCTAGGGAGGTGACTAGGACACAGACAGTCTGCCTAATCACTGCCTCAGATAGAACAAGTAGGACGAATTCCAGCCAATTCCTTTGGGCTCTGGAGAGAGAAAAAGCCCTGAGTGTTTGGGAGGGCCCATGCTACCAGTGATGTGAACCTTCCAATGGGTGGTGAAAATTACAGAGGGAAAGAGCAGCTTTCTGTAATCAACTCTCCCCTAAGTGGAGATTTCGCCCAAGAAACTTGCTGCCTAGAAAATCTTCCTTTAGGAAAGATCACTGAATCCCAGGTTGGTCCTTTACTCTGCAGGTTAATATTCTGTTATTGCAAGTCTCTTTTTCTTTTATCACATGTATTGGGTCTTTTTCCTACCTGATGTTGTATCTCTACTTTTCAATGTAGGAGGACCAGTTATTAATTTGATTTTTATGGGGGGGCACTTTTTTTTGAAAGTTATGTTTTCTAGTAGTGAGGGAACAAATGCTATCAGCTTCAAGGCCTCTTCTGTCACCAGATTGGGCTGTCCTTGTGCCCTTCCATCACCCAATCAGCCATCAGGTGCAAAGACTCAAGGAGTTGGTACATGGGGCAATGCAAATTTATGTGGTTCCAGAGAGGGCTTCATTAAGAGCCTCAAGCCAAAGCAGTGAGTTTAATGTCAAAAACTGTACTGTGTGCAACCTCAAATAGACACAGGAGCGAGGAGAACCTGGACACACTGGAGAATAGGGTCACTTGACATGGGATTCATCTTTGGAAGCCTGAAGTAGTGTCCTTATAAAAATGCAAAGGTGATCCAAACGAATCATGGTGATCTTTAAAAGAGCAGAGATGGTTTGAACATTGATTTTTTTAAAACAGTGATTTATCAATTAGAGACAAGAGTTTTTTCCTGATGATATTTATTTCATAAATGTAATTATTTTCTAAAACATATTAAAATAGAAAACATGTTTTTTGATCAATTTATACAAAGAAAATACCAATATAGTAATAAAAATACTGAAAATATATGAAAAGCACCAGAACATTAGAGAAATTACACTGGCAACAATTCTAGGAATATATTTTTATAATTATACAATAAAGTGCTATTAAATCCAGTCAAAATTAGTGGCAAGATATAAAAAGTTATGGTTTTATGAAATTTGAGACTAGGTTTACCAGCAATTGCATTTTAGGCTACTTGCAGATCAAGCTAATGATCTTTCATTAATGTTTTCATGGAAAATGTATTGATTTCCATTCGCAAGTGAAAACAAAAATCAAAATGAAAATCCCTAGCGATTTGATCATGAAAAGGCAAAGACATGATTAAAGATAAAATTGTTGATCAGAATACCAGAAATAATCATGCAAATATGATTAAATTAAATGAAGACAGAACAAAATAAAATGTAAATATATAGATTAAAAAAGAATAGTAGAAAAGTTTAGATGCCTTTGACATTATGGTTAATTTTCTGCAGTTGTGTTTAGTCACATTCACCACATGGTTCTGAGGAGTGATGTAACAATGTATGTATGTTACATTCATGTATGTTACTTTACAATGAATGCTAACAAGTTGTATTACTAAATTCAACTGACCAGACATTAAGCAAGGAAGGATATTTAGTGTGTCAACATGTTTTGCTTATGTAACATTAAAGGGACACTGTTAGGACAATTATATTCCTCATCTTGGCTAATTGAGTCCTCATTATCTGATGAGGAATGAAAAGCACAGACAAATACTTTGGGATGAGCTTATATTAAGGCCCCCAAATCTACCACTTGGGAAGTCACTGTGAGCACACAGGGACATAGATACTGTGCACAGTACTTAGTGTGGACTGCAGTCTGTTTCACATCTGGAGGTGGCAAACTGAAACAGAAAAACCCACATTAAGACAGAGTATCACTCTAGTGTCCTTTTAAGGTTTTATTTCCCTAGCAGACTTTTTAAGGAGCTCTGTTACATCACTCCTCAAAACTGGGTTTTGGAATCAACTTCTTCAAGCTGAAAGTCTCCAACTCTACTCCTGAGAACAACACATTTCCAAACATGGCTAAAAATCTGTTTGATAGGCAGACTACTTTTCTGTCATCAAATGTAGATATACATTTGAACCGAACGCAACTGAAACTGGTCATGTTAATGATAACACAAACTAATTTCATTAGCTTCTGCTTCTGCAAGGTGTACCTCTGTAGGAATTTAGGAACCACATGAATGTACCAAAGGCAGAGTATCGAGTGTTTTAGAGAGCCCATTGGGAGTGGTGGTTCCCATTCTCTAAGCCTCTTTGTTTTACTTTTATATTTGCACACATGGATACTCCAGTCTTTTCAAAGTTTTCTTCTCACCAACATTTTTAACAAGGACCATTTTGAACCCAAGGTTAGGTATACTTACGAGCTACAACAACTAGATTTTCAATGCTACCTAATGCTTTTCACTTAAAATAATTTGTGATCCACAGAAGAGACTCCTTTGCCCTGGAATGAAGGTGAAGATGTAACGGTGGAAGAGTAGGCCCTTGTAATAAACTGGTCAAAAAGGTTCAGTGTCCAAACATAGTGAATGACATGAAACTGCATAGAATTGACTAGAAAGGGGAGCTGTTTTTGAGACATTCCTTCTGGGCACTGCTACCAGAAATCAACAAAAATTCAACCACATGTAGCTTTCCATATTGGTTCAAAACCAAAGTGTTCACTAAAGAGCCCAGGTTAATAAGAGGCAGGCTGCTCAGCAATGCTGAGAAACAAAGGCTAAGGTGGTTTGGCATTAAATAGCTCTACATTCCAAAAAGAATATTGACTATCATCTGGAAGTAGTTCTCAGTTACAAAGTTAAGATTACATAAATTACTCTGTTTAAGTATGTTTCCTTTTCAATATACACATTTTACATACATAGTATAGAAAAGCTAATAAGTCAGCTCAGCTAGTAGTTCTATATTTAAAAAAAGCATATTATATCTTTTGGCTACAACAAAGCATATTACTTAGACTTTTCAGCTCAGCTAGTGTATTTACATGATAAAACTTTGCTTTGAAAGCATTCAAATCAAAAAGAAAAAATAAATTATGTTTAAGCTATTAATTTACACAATGTATATGCCTTTACTTAGTTTTCTAACAAGCTATAGTCTCTAATAATCGATGCCTTGAACATTTCTCTATCCAAACAACTTGTTTTCAGGCACCCTTCTATGTGCTACATATTTCCTTTCAGGAAGCCCAGATTTACAGTAGTTCTAGAAGGTGGGTGGAGAAGTCTGAATGGGGTCTGTATACCTTCTCCAGATAATGTCTTGAAGGAGTTACGTTTCTGACCAGGCACCGTTTCTCTAACTATATAATGAATAAAAGAAAGAAACAACAAAAGCAAGCAAGACCATTGTTACGGCAAGCAGCAGCTGTTGGAACCAGATAGAGCGCTGGAGTTGGTCTTCAAGTTTCCTATTGCTTTCTAGTAAACGATTGAGCTGAATGGGAAGAAAAAGGGGATGAAAGATTGATATCAATGAAGCAATCATTAATCATGGGAATGCCAAACTAGAATATCAGAACTCCAAACACTAAAGGGATGGGGCCCATCTACTTTGAAAGGTTGGGGACTAGAAATTTAAGGAGGCATCCAATATAAAGTTTGATGGACGTGTATGCCCTTCATGCTCCACTCTGAAAGGTCCTATTTTCTAGTTGAAACAGAACAGAGGTCCAGACACTTTAGGGCTATTTATGTCTCTTTGTTTTCTTTCCTTTTGGGCATCACACCTAACACACTGCCACAGTAAGTAAAAATTACACCACTGAGGTATATGCACGAAGCCTCTGTGTTTCTTTCCAATGGAAAGGTAGTAAGTAGTTGGTGCTCTTTTTATATAAGAGGGAAGGCTTCTGTATGCAACAAGGACCAGTGCTTTGCATTTGACCCCAATTCCACAGTCAAATTGCCGCAGTCTTTAAACGCTTGTGGCCTTCTGAAAGCAGCCTGCCACTTAGCATTATTGACTGGCCTCTTCACAGAGAAAAGGACACTTCCAAGTCAGGCTTGCTAACTCACACCCTAACTCTAGCACTTGGAAGGCTGAGGCAGGGGGACTATGAGGAGCTCCAGGCCAGCCTGGGTTCAAGATGAATCTTTGTCTCCCAAAGCAGAAAACAGAAACCCCAACAAACAACAAACGAACCCTAAACCACCCCCCCCAAAGAAAGTAAAACCAAAACCAAAAAGAGGAAGAAAGAGAGGGATAGAGATCAAAATGAAAACTTTCATTGTGTCTGTTAAAAGGTTCCCTTATGCTATGGAACACAGAAGACCTCGTGGTGCCGTTACCACTGGTCATCGTTTAGTCAGGAGGAAAGCACACTTACTTGCAGATACAGATCTTCACTGGTTTTATCTGACATGTTAGCAGCACCGTCTTTCAACATGAGGGTGTTTGGTTTGCTGCTCTCAACAGTATGGCACCTTAACCTATGAAATTCCAAGGAAACATAACTTCTTCAAAGCTTTAGTAAATATTTTTTTCTGAAAGTTGTTGTGTACTGGAGGCAAAAGGTTTCATTCGCCTCCTTAGGCACAGTTCCGAAAGTAGCTCAGTCTATATTTATCTATTATCTTCCAGGGTCTTTTATTCTCCAGTGAAAATGAAAGCTGGGGCTCTGTGCTTGCTTATAAACTACCGAGTTTAACCCTCTGTCCCCTTTTAGCTACCTAATGTGTATAAAGAACAAGAGACTGTGCATACTGCCCACTGCCCCAGGGGACTCAATAGAAAGCTTTTTCATATGTTATTCGGTAGAATTTACCCCGATTATCTTCCAATTTCTAGAAAGGAGGATTGAGCTTTTAGTACCAAACCAGCAGGATCCCTCCCACCTTCTAGGTGGAAGCTGTGCTTCTCTCTTGAGGGCTCTGGAGCAGGCAGCCATTAGGAACTGGTAAAACCCAAAGCAAAGGAAGTACAGCAACTTATATTTAAGAAACCCCTCATTTTGAGTGGTTCATAAGCACTTTGATTTAATCTCCAATTCTTTTTGTGTCACTCGTTCTTAACCTTTCAAAAATCTCCCATGCTTTTAACCAAAAACAGAAAGAGCTTGAGTTTCTGTTCACCCCTGGAGTACATAGCAAAGCCCTGTTTCATGAACAGTGCAAAGCAAACTCAACCAAAACAAACAAAACCTGGCAGAATGCAGTTTTTGTTCCTATGGTATAATTTGAAAATGTAAGTATGTTATTATTTTGTGAAAAACAGGTGGAACCTCTACTCGGTTGGACTTGCATTAACTTCTCTAATGTTTTCTGGTAGCTTTTTTTTTCCTCCTTTGAAACATTGTTTCCTTATGTAGTCCATGTTAGCCTCAAATTTTGATCTTCCTGCTGCAACCTACAAGTACTGTGTGTTGGGATTATAGGTCGCTATTGCCATGTCCCTCTTTTTTTTTTTTTTGTTTGGCTGTCTGGGGGATGGAACCTAGGACCGTGCACACATAATACTCATACAGTACTACTCATACTGTAGTCCTGAGTTATCTTCCCAGCCTGTTTCTTCAAACAGTGCTCAAATTTCTCATGTTAAAATCCTCAAGATGGGGTGGGCATAGTGGAGATCACTTGTAATGCCAGTACTTAAAAGGCTGAGCCAGGAGAATTATTACAAGTTTGAAGCTAATGCTTGGCTATATAATGACACCCTGTCTCAATGAACAAGCCACTCCCCAAGCCAATAAGCTCCTCCAATACCAAGACAAAAATAAACCACCGCCCCAAATAAAAACAAAAACCCACATAAAATAGAAGTCAAAGACCCCTTTCATCAACTTCATAGCTTCTCTATAATCTGCCACACCTCTAGTCTAGCCCAGTTGTCCCCATCCGTCTCTTCAGCATGGGCTCTCTCTGGCTTATGTGGCTCCTGCATTCTGAAGGCACTCTTTAAGGTCATTAGTCCCTTCAGTAAAGTGACCATCAGTGGGCAGTGCCCATACCTCATCTGTATCTGCATGCCAGTACTTGGTATTACTACTGCTCACTTCTCTGTGACACACTTCCTCCCTGGACTGTAGTGACCTGGAAAAATTGTCCCTTGACCACAAAATACTCCGCTAGGTTGGGCTAAATTCAACAGTCCTCATAAGCAATGACCTAGTGCTCGGCTAGCTGTCTCTTGGACACACCCTCCCTCCAGTTAAGGAAAATAAGCCTCCTTGCTGGTTTTCATGTAAGCCAAGCACATTTTTTCTCTCGAAACTTGCCTTGCCAGTCACCACAAAGCACTTTGTGCAGATACGATCAGCCAGAATGTGACTTCCTCTTTCATTTCCTTCATGTCCCAGTCCGTGTGCCAGCAGAGAGACCATCCTTAATTACTCTATCAACCAGGGTTTCCTATCTCAGTGCTACTGGTTTTGTGGGTGGCTTGTGATTTTGGGGAAGTAGTGTTCATGAAACGCATTGCAGGAGACTTAGGAATATTTGCTAGATGCCCACTGTACCCATCCCTGAGTTGTGAAAAGTAAAGCTGTCTCTAGATATTGGCAAATGTCCTTGGGTGGGTGGCGGGCAAAACTGATGTCACTTCAATAAATTGTAATCCCGTCTTAAAAGGAGTAAAGAAAAAGTAGGAAGCAGTTTTCTCTACTTTCCTATATATATTTAAAGACATTTGGCACAGGTATAGAGGCCATAATATATATATATATATATATATATATATGTGTATATATATATATATGCAACTGTGAACTCCCTTTTAAATAGGATACTGTATCATGTTTCTGTGAGCAGTTTTCTAATTGTTATCCACTGTATTTCTTCACATGGGAATAGAGTGGCTGAATTCTGAGTAGCTTCTGAGTACTACAGCAAGGGCATGTTCCAACGTATCTCAGCTAGAATTTGCCAGTGGCCCTTCAAGTCTTGCCTTTGCCTTTTCACTGCTACAGACAACACTGTCACAAACCACGAAGCAAGTAAGCATTCCGATAAGGTAGACTTGAGGGTCAGAGATATGTACCTGTCAACTGGTCAATCCTTGAGCGGCTCCCCCTTTTCTATCCAGGCACCCCAAAAGTCTGACAGTTGTAAGGAAAGGACAATGCCCTGGCCCAGGGATTTCTCATTCTGAGTCTTCTGTCACATTTGAGAGGCTGCTGTGAGTAAAAGCACTTACCTGTGTTCCATCACTTTGCTTCTTGGAACTTCTTTCCAGAACTGGGTCAATTCTGTTGGCCCAGTGCCAGATGACTGCTCCATTTCTGCAGCCATTATTAGAAACCGGTCTTGGGCAGAGACTCTTAAGCCTGCACTCCAAAAGAGGAATGTGACATATGAACACCATCTGTCCTGGGGATCGATATATATGGCTCAAGACGTTATTATTACTGTTTAAAATATTTGTATTATTTAAAACAATTTATAATTCAAACATATTTGGATTATATGTGTCCCCTCCCCTAAGTCCTTTAGATCTTACCTCCATACCCACCCAACTGGAAGTTCTTTCTCAAAAAACAAAGGAAACCCCAATGCAACAGTAACCCCTAGCCCAAGAAAACAGAATAAAACACCACCCCCAAGACAAACAAAGACCCCCACCAAACTGTAAACAAATAAAAGCATGCAAAAAATCCTGTGGAGTCCATTACAGATTGGTCAAAAACTTCTGAACATGAACCATAAGAATACATTAAGAAAAAGATAGGGAAAGACAACTCACCTCCATGCGGAGAAACAATTATATCAACTGAAGCTCCAGGGTCACAGCTGCTGTTGCTGGGCTTAACTCTGTACTTCTCTGGAGCAGTAGTTCTTACCTGTGTACAAACAGTTAGCATGTAACCTCACATTCTTCTGGAGGCATGGTTTAAGAATGACTTCAAAGAAGAGCATCTAGTAACAATGAATGAAGTCTATGCAACCACCTTGGTAGCTACCTGTAGAATGTTGTTTGTCTTCACCAAGAAGATGAAAACATCCCGAGCTATTTAAAAACCCACTTTTAAGCCCTATTGACACTTGGCCTTCCTCTTCTTCCTCTTCTTTTTCTTTTTTTTTTTTTTTTTGAGACAGGGTGTTACTCTGTAGCCATTGCTGACTTAAGGTGGATATGTAGATTAGGCTGGCCTCAAACTCAAAGAGAACCGCCTACCTCTGCCTCTCCTGAGCTGGGATTAAAGGCATGTGCCATCACACCTGGCCCTAGCTTTCCTCTTATTGTGTGTATGTGAGCATATATGTGCATATGTATGTGCAGGCCGGAAGACAGCCTTCATTAGATGAAGCATCTAATTTACAACACAGAAGGATAAAACAATCAAATTGCAAGGGACTTTTCCTTCACATTTGGTATAACCTGAAGTGTAGTTTCTGTTGGATTCTAATGTGCCACATATGAAGTATAGAGGACTATGTTCACTATTAGCCCCACTAGAAGGGAATACAATATGGCTCAAAGTACTAGAAATAAAAAGGGACATGCTGAACATTTTACACACAGTTATTCATTGCTTGACTACTGTTCTTTCTATCATATCAGTATATGCCCCAAATCACTTGCTATTATCTCACTTTCATAATTTATTATGGCTGTTAGTTTTTGTTGTGGTTTGGTTTTTACCTTAAAGGCCACTATATTTTTCGTGACGTTTGTCAACACTATTAGAGTTTTCTTATCTCCAGATTCCACACTTCCAAAATACAATTCTTCAGCTGGGCTAGGTAGATAAACAAATAAATCATTTATAGTACTCAGACTAAATTGTTAGCATTATAATCAGTAGTCAGAAAAAATGTTTGGCTGATAGTTAATACTCATTTGTATGAAGAGACGTCCTTATAAAAGGTGACTACAAAACAGTTACCTAATACAATTTTGTACTTTAGCACCCTGATGCTATACAAGCTAGGAAGCCCTATGGCTTTCCCTAAGGTCAGAAGGAAAATAGAAAGGAACAGAAGAACTATGAGGATGCCCAATTAACCCTGTAATTAACACAGTCTATGGTGGATCTGTGTAAACTCTTTGGGAGGTTTTTGGATTATGAGACAGCTTTCCCTAATTACAAACACATTAGACTTGAGCACCCTTCTTACACCAACAGAGAACATAATTTCCCAGAAAGATCATTAGGGATATATTTAAGAAACAGAATAACTTCGTACCACACAATGGTTTTTCTGAGTAGTAGAGAAGAGACAGACATAGAAAGAAATTTGGAGTAGCAATTGGAGGGCAGTTAAAGAAGTAAAACTAGTAAGCCTCAAGCTTCCAGGTTTGCTATTATTGGCTACTGTAATATCTATACTCTAAAATGAAAAAATGAATTCTCCAGAAAAATTGTGTAGTTTAACAACATTAGCCAGGTGCCTCAATACAACAGGAAGAATTTTGGGTAGTGTTTTTGTTTGAAGTTGAAAAGTGAATAGCTTAAGTGTTTTACTTTTCACCTAACTTATGTATGTATGCATTTGAAGGTTTTGAGACTCTTTAGGTAGCCCAGGCTAGTCTCCAAGTGTGTTCTTGCTTTTGAAGACTGCTGGAATTGAAGGCTTGCACTGGTAAGCCCAGACGGAGATAAGTTTACACAAGGCATGTCTTCACATCAAGGATACTCACTGATCTAGAGAAAAAATGTATTTAGGGATGAAGTTGCCCACCTTAGGGCAAGATGGCAAACATATATGATTGCTTAATTCCTTTTGGAGCCTGAGGAACAGGAGACATGAGAAAAACAGTAATGTATAGATATCAGAGTATACTCAGTAAACAGTATAAAATTCAGGAGCAGCTCGGGGAGATGACATTGGTGGGGTCCTTGTGCATGTGAAGAAGTACTTCTGTGACTCTGATGGGGGCACAGGTAGTGAGACCATGTTCAAAGTGCAGTCCTGGAAATTGCCCTATTCAGGCCTGCCTTTCCAGCTGCTCTCAATTTAACCTCAGGAAGTCCAGGTTAGGATCTATGCTTTGGATGGTCCTTCTGTGAAACAAATGTTGACTTCCAAACTAGCAGAAGAAAAAGTACAAACATACAAACTCCAAAGGTGGAAAATGGCAAAAGACAAACCATGGGAGATGAAATTTATGTTGTGTGTCTCTCCCTTACTCACATAAGTACACAGACAGTGGCAATAAATCCAAATTCTATCCCAACAAGAATCAACACACATGGAAACAAACCAGGCTTGTCAATTAGAGAATTCCAGATTGCACTTATTAGAAGTCTAGCTTCTAATAAATGTTGATGGAAGATGTACTCCAGTATACTCCAAGTATAGTTATACATGAAGGTTTTAAGGAAAGGGACAAAAATGCCACATTAGGTCATCACTAACTCATGTTGGTATAACAATATTGAACACAACAATACAGGAAATAGTCCAGAGCTTTTTCTTTCATTGCTAGGGATAAAACTCAGGGCTTTACACAATTTTACCCATGACTTGTACTCCCAGATTCCAATCCCTAGTCTTTTGAATTACTAACCTGGAACAGAGATAAACATGTCTGAAATTAGGGTTTTGTCAAAACTATATTTTCCTAGAACACACTGGGCTTTCAGAAGGTCAAATCAACAAATATATCCCCTTATTTTTACAAGTACCAGTAATACAAACAAATGCATCTTTAAGATTTATCAATAAGTAAATATTCAATATTACTATCTGAAGTGTGATGAGGGCTTTGACACATATTCAGTGGAACAAATAATAAAAGGTCGTTAGAAATGGTCCAGAGATCTACAAGGATAACACCAAATGGAAAATTAAGTAATAGCAGAGAGACTACATTAATAGTCCCTACCTAATGATAAGGTTGATGACTTCCTTATATGACATCATAGAACCTTCATCCAGTGACTGATAGAAGCAGAGACAGATACTCACAGCTAAACACTGAACTGACCCTCAGGAACCCAGTGACAGAGATGGAGGAGTGATGAGCATAGGGGTCAAGACCGTGCTGGTGAAACCCATAAAGATAGCTGACTGGACAAGGGGGAGCTCTTGAACCCCAGACTGATAGCTAACAAGCCAACAGGGAACTGATCCAAACTCCAAGAATGTAGTGTCAGTGAGGAGGCCTCAGAAATCTCTGGGCCTTGGGTAGTAGATTAGTGTTCACCATGACATACAAATAAACTTTAGGAGCCCATTCCACATGGAGGGATGCTCTCTCAGCCTGGACACATGAGGAAGGGCCTACGTCCTGCCCTGGATGAAATGACAGACTCTGGAGATTCCCCCCCAAGGAGGGCCTCACCCTCCCTGGGGAAAGATGTGGGGATTGGGCTGGGGTGGGAGTGGGGAGCTGGGAGCATGCATGTTTCTAATTTAAATAAAAAAAGAAAAAACGAACAAAAAAAGAAATGTTCACTAAGTCTGGAAAAGAAGGCAAATTGTACTCTCAACAAATTGTACTCTCTACTCTTAACAGTTTCAACAACAGGAAAGAAGGTTTCTGACTCTTGCAGTTCTCCCCCACCTCCAAGTTGATCAAGATATGTTACAGCAATGCAGTGAATAAAATCTCTGTTACCTGATGTGTAATAAGTGCCCTTTAAAAACACTCAAAGGCTTTTTAAAAGTTTTCATCTTTGAATCAACTTTTTCATTTTCATCTGTTTTGGAAGCAGACTCAGTTGGGTTACTCTATAGATTAAAAGACAAAAACAGAAACAAGGGAGAAAAGATGAAGACACTGTAGTTAAAGTTGGATAGGTCATTGGGAGAACAAACAAACATCTAGACTCAATGAAAACTATAGTTTTTTTAACATGTTTAGCATGTCTGGATGACACGTTTAACATATATTGACTTGACCATGAAAAAATATTATATGATTCTCTTATAAACATGACATTATTGAAGATATTTGTTCTAAATTATAATGTATGTATCAAGCAAGCCCTTGCTAAGTTTTGTAAAGCGTGACAATTAACAAGTCCTTCAAAACTAGATCAAGAGGAACTTCATTCAGCTGAAGTGTTATATTAATCAGTTTTATTTTTATCTTAAACAAATAAATATATTTTTGAGAAAAACATTCCTTCCAGAAGTACTTTGCCAAGTTTTGCACTGAGCATAGACTCAGCTCTTTTTATATGGAAAAAACAGTATGTTGCAAATCAGTTCACCTCATCTCTCCTCCTTCAATTTTTCAAGGAAGACATGGAAGCAAGGTAACTGGATTATCTCAAGGGCACAGGCAGAGCTGGGGAGACATGGCAGTGCCTCTCCCTCTCATGCTGGGGATTGAACTTAGGGCATCATGCATGCTGAACAAAGTGCTCTACCACTAAGCTATATCCCAAGCTTTAGATGACAACTTTTGATTCTGTTTGACGTTATTCTTAAAATTACCTTTTCTGACAGAGCTGGTTGTTCTTCATTAGAAACTGTTTCCAAGGATTCTTTACCATCACCTTCTATATCTTCTTTACTGGAGGTTTCATCCTCACTGGCAATTGGTCCATTTTCACACAGTGGTGTCTGGAAGTCATCATCTACCAGTGGCGGGTAGCTATACTTGAAAGGATCCTAAAGGAGAGGATTTTCCTTATCAGTCTACTACTAATGTGGAGAGAAATAATTCTCCTGGTATATTAAAAACTGATTACTTTAGCCAAGAAAATATCAAGAAAATATGCTTAAATAGTGAAATAAGGAAAAATGGTATTCATTTCAAACTAAAAAGGGAAAGAACAGTGAATAGAGATAACTATAAGATATGCAAGAAAAAAAATCAAGTTATATCTTCAGCTTACACCCCAGCAAAAATAATTTCAGATGGCTAAAAGCATTAAATGTAGTGTGTGTATTTTTGTGTGTTTTAAACTATAAAAGTATATATTAAAACAGAAGAGGAATAAAACAAATCAACATAAATCCAAGTAGGGCAGACTCAAAATCTTCTACACACAACACAGAACATGATGCAATAATACTGACAAATGGTTCTCAATGCGGCTCAATAGAGTATTTCCCTTGCATGTTTGAGAACTTGGGTTCAATGTCTAGTACTACAAATAAAACAAACCTCATTCAAATAACTAAAAAAAACCCATAAAACCAAAAAAGTGCTAAAGATGGCTCAATGGGTAAAGTGAATGCTGAACAAGCACAAAGACTTGAACTTAGATGCCATGTGAAAAGCCACATGTGGTAATATTTGCAATTCCAGTACTGGGGGGCACAGACAGGAGGACACTAAGGGTTTAATGGTCAATCAGACTAGTTAATCAGTAAGTTACATGTTCAGTGAGAGACCCTGTCTCAAAAAATAAGGTGGACAGCAATAAAAGTTGACTCCAGGCCTCCACATGTGCACGTATGCACATCCATGCACACATACACCACACAGAAGCAAGCACAAGGGCTGGAGAGGTGCTTCAGTGCTGAAGAGTGCTTCCTGCTCTATCAGAGACCAGAGTTCAGATCCCAGCACCCACATCAGGCAGTGCACAGAGAACTGCACTTGGCCTCCATGGGTACATGTACACACACACACACACACACACACACACACGCATACACACGCACACGCACACACAGAGAGAGAGAGGGGGAAGGGAGAGAATGAATATCTAAAAAAGACAAAACATGTGAACAAAACACATGATGAGGTGGGCATACTAGTTATATATGATAGTTATGTGGCTATAAGAGTACTTTATAGTCTACAAGAGACCCTGCCTCAAAAAAATGTAAACAAAGCAGGGGAAATTTGCAACGATGGTTTTACTTTAAGTTTATTATCTGAAATGAGCAACATTCTGTTTTTCTAGATTAAAATATAAACTATAACATTTCAGGATAGGAAAGGTGTAGACTTCAAACTAAATTTTTTAGTTCATATCTCTTCTGATTAATGAAAACAAAATGAAGGACACTGAACATTTAATCCTGCCAGCCCTTCGTTCTCTTTAAATACAATTTGGTTGGGCAGGCAAAATATACCTACAATTATTTACATAGGTTTCACACTTTAGGAAAAGTCACTTCCATATTCATTTTCACAGCTATGCAAGTACTAAAAAAATTACTTGAGATGGGGAATCACCTAATATTTTCCAGGCTGGCCCAGAACTTCTTGCATGTTGAGATTATAGGTGTGCACTACCGCATCTGGCCCTGACATTAAAAATTTCAAGCACACCCACCCGTTTCTGATCTCTGTTGATAAGTAATAAAAATCAGTTCAAAAGATTCTGAGGCCTGGGCAAGAGCATTGGCCTGGCATGAATCTGACCCTTGGTTTGATCCTTAGCACCCAAAATAAAGGACAATAAATCAATCAATAGCAAAACACCTTTCAAACTGTGGCAGCACATTTTAAGGATAAATTACAAATTTAAAAGACTACATCAAAATCAATTTCAGTAACTTATGGTTCATGTTAGATACTGGAACACCACAGCATACATAGGTTTGCTTGTCAACCACTGATTTGGAATGACCTCTATGCTGTGTTAGGAAGGAAAAAACAGACGTATAATACTGTACAAATACACTCGCTCCTATTAAGAAGAGATGAGTAGGAGGAAGGCTTCTGTACACTTGCCTACATGTGTAATACTCATCCCTAGAAATTAAGAAATGCAGTCATGAAAGGCAGAAGGGTGGTTGAGACAAGAGTTGAAGAAAATTTATAAAGACTTGTTTCTGAATCCTAAATCCACTCCAGTTTAGAATCATATATATATATATATATATATATATATATATATATATGTATGTATATAGTCAAAAATCAGTGAAAAGTATCTATAGCACCGCATCCTTTTTGGGGGGTATCAGTGATCCTTCCTTAGGCATTATGATATATAGATTTTGCAGGCTGAATGGGGGTATGTGGGGATGAGAACTGGAGTGATGAGGTGGGAGGGATGGAGGGAGAAATTATGGGGAGAGATAATTGGAATTGGAGGGCATCTGGAGGCCAATGGGAAACATAGTGCAGTGGACACACCCTGGAATCTGTGAGGATGACCCTATCGAGGACTCCAAGTAATGGAGGCTATGGAGCCTGAAGCTACCATCCTCTGTCACGAGATAAGGCTTCTTGTGATGGGACTGGAACACCAAGCCAGCCACAAAACCATCAACCTACAGTCTGCCCTGCTTTGCAAGATGTACTGGGCCATGGTGGCATAGAGCTTGTAGGAATGGTCAACCAATAACTAATCTAATTTGAGGCTCATACTATGAGAGGAAGTCCATGCCCAATACTTCCTGGATGACTAGGAACTGAAGGCTGGATAGCCCAGAGACCTAGGACAAACTAAAAAAAGCCAATGAAATGATTCCTAATGATATTATGCTCTACTCATAGATCAGTGCCTAGTTCAATTGTCATCGGAGAGGCTTCCTTTGGCAGCTGATAGGAGCAGATGGGACCCACAGCCAAGCCAAACATTAGGAGGAGCTTGGGGAACCCTGTGTAAGAGGGGGAGGAAGGACTGCAGGAGCCAGAGGGGTTGAGGACACCAGGAGAATACAGCTCACATAATGAACTAAACAGGGCTCATGGGGGCTCACAGAGACTTAAGCAGCAAGCATGGGGCCTGAATGTGTCTGTGATATATCCTCTGAATATGTTATAGTTTTTAGCTCGGTGCTTTGTGAGACTCCTAACAGTAGGAATGTGGGTGTCTCTGCCTCTTTCTCCTGCCCTTGAGACCCTTTCCCTCCTACTGGGTTGCCTCCTCCAGCTTTGATATGAGTGTTTGTTCCTGGTCTTATTGTATAGTATGCTGTATTTGGTTGATGTCCCTGGGAGGCCTGATTTTTTCTGGGGGAAAATGGAAGAGGAGTAGATCTAGGGGAGAGGAGAGTTTGTGGGGGGACTCGGAGGAGTGGGGGAAGGAAAGCTATGGTTAGAATGTACTAAAAGAAGAATATAAAAAACAAGAAGAAATAAAAACATTTAAAAAGATATGGCTTTTTCCTTTTGAGTACATAGTTTAGAGTACTATTATTCAGTGTTATTCCACAAGTTTCGAAGACTGTACTTACTGTCCCACCCATGTGGGGAGGCAGGTATTCCACACTGACATACTCCTGGATTTCATTTTTACTTGTAAACTTCAGCAAACTTACTGCTTCGGGCCCAAGCCAGCTTTTCACAATTTTGAAAGCAGCTGAGGAAATACAATCAAGACAGAACTGTCACTTGTTTTGTCAAGCACTTTACTCTATGTACTAACCAAACCAAGTCTTCTGAAACCAATTTGAACTAGGAGCGGAGCCATTAATTAAATGAAAATCTCCTGAGGCGGGGCACATACCATTCTTTAATTCCAGGAGGGAGGCTTTAGGGTATGCATGCCCTTCACAGGCTTCAAATGTTCCCCCGGGATTCAGGAAGGTTAAATTACCTTGATGTTCACTGAGCAGCTTTTCAGGGTTTTGACCTCTGACCACATCTATCAGTGGCCTCAACAACTATGACTTTTAGACAATGAACCAAACTGCTCTATGACTCAGGAAGGAATCTGTGAAGAATCTTTTACTTTGTGTTTCTTCTGATAAACCCTCAATATGAAAACCCTTCTCAAAGAGAAAGGCAGAAACAGGAGGAAGAGGCCCAGCTCATTATGGCTGTGAGCCAGGACCAGCTTCCTTCCTGACTCAAAACGGCATTTTTCCCAGGCCTCACATTTTATATAACCATGAGAAAGACTCTACAAGAATAAATTACTATCAAACATAGCTATTTGACATTTACAATTCTGTCCTGTGTTATGCCAATTGTTTAATGCTTAATTTTAAAAGGTATTTCTAATGGGGCATTTATTTTTTTATTTTTATTTTTTTGGTTTTTTCGAGACAGGGTTTCTCTATATAGCTTTGGAGCCTATCCTGGCATTCACTCTGTAGACCAGGCTGACCTTGAACTTACAGAGATCTGCCTGCCTCTGCCTCCCAAGTGCTGGGCTTAAAGGCATGGGCCATCAACGCCCGGCTTCATGGGGGCATTTTTAACCCATTTGGAAAAAACTAAAAGCAGAATGCTGCAGTAAATATTCAAAAATGATAGCAGAAATAAGGGGAAATAAGAATAATGAAAACATTAAACCATGGTTCAGAAAATCATGTTTTGTTTTGCTTTTTAAATTTCTGGTTCACTATGATTTACGATTTTGTTCAAATACTATTTAAATATTCCTTTTCAATTTAAAACAGCTTGTAACTTGACAGGATTGAAGTCATGCTATTGGAATTAAATGAAGTGTTAAGTCTGATTTTTTTCATGCCAGCTTTATTAAAATAATTCACAAAGGATTTTAGTTGTGGGTTATCATAAATGCCAAAAAGCTGTTCTGGCAGTTAAAAATTACCCTTACCTGAATAGTGGTCTGGCCTTTGCTCCCAGATTCTGGGAGGTAGCCTTCTTATTTGGTAGGATTGTCCTTTTTAGCCTTGGGGACCTTAGATTTGTAGGAATAGTATCTCAGATTTAGGATGGGACTTAGAAAACCACCATGTGATTTATGGTAGAGGAAATGGGCCATAGAGTATCATCAGTAGGGACTAACCACAGGCAAAAACCAATGCCTACATAATGGAGCTCCAAGACAGTTTCTGAGCACCAAGGCACGAAAGCATCAATGAATTTTCTTAGTTGGCAATACTACGTGTGTGCTGCTCACACTGATGCTGAAAGAGAGATCTGTTTCACATTTGAAACATCTCTCTGAATTCTTTCCTTGCAATAAATCACAAAAGTGAGCATCATTGCTTTCAGTGAGTTCTAGCAGTCTGAGTGAGTGATCAAACATGAAAGGCACTTAGGGAAGTGGAATTTGTGGAAGGTAGCCTTATGTGAACTGCTAGGATCCCTATAAAATCTACTTTTTCAACAGAACTTTCTGGTCCTACTTTTTAAGTTATTTTTTATCAGAGATAGTATTAGATTTTTGTCACCTTTTTCATTTTATTAATATGTTATATTACCTGATTTTCCCACTCGAACCAACTTTGCATTCCTAAGACAAATCCTTCTTTGTCATTGTTTGTAATGCTTTTTGGTGTGTGTGTGTGTGAATGTGTATGCATGCATCTGGGAGTCAGAAGACAATCTTAGAGGTCCTTCTTCAAGAGTTATCTCTCTTGTCTTTTTGAGACAGGCTCTCACTGGCTTGAGCTCATTCATTAGATCAGACTGGCTGGCCAGTCAGCTCCAGAGTTCTGCCTGTTGGTATCCCCACCCTTCACTCCCAGTGCCACGGGCATAGGCACATGGTACTACTACAACTGGCTTCTTTACACAGGTTCTTGGGGACTAAACTCAATTTTCAAGTACTTGAAATCTCCTTAGCTTGTAATGCTTTTTGTATTTATTTGGCTACATTTTGTTAGTTTTGTCCTTCTGTAGTGCTAGAGGTGGAACTCAGGACTTCACACAGTTTAGGCAAGTGCTAACTCATTGAGCTGTACCCCTAGCCATAGTACCTTCAGAGGATTGGTGCAGGTATAGTTGTAAGGGATTGCAGTCTGTAGCTTTCTTTTCATCTGATGCTTGGTTTCAGGCCTGTATTTACTCATCAATGAGTTACAAGCAGTCCTCATTAGCCTACTTTTAGAAATGTTTACAAAACATCAAGGCAAATTATCCTTTAACTATTACATAGAATTTGCCAGAAAAGCCACCAGGGCCTATGTTGGGCCCCAGCCCCCATGGGGGTCTCTGTGAGTTGTGTGTCAGCCAACACCATAGGTACATCCTGTTTTCTAGTCCTGGCTTACAGCCCCAGCCTTGCCCCACTGGCATCAACCTCTAATTATGAAAACACAAGCTCTTATACCTGGTTTTTCTCCATTGTGCTGTAAGTCTGTATATAAGACTGCTCCCTCCTTGCAATAGACACACACACACATACACACACACACACACACACACTCATACTCATGCACACACACACACACACACACACACACACTCACTCACTCACTCACTCACTCACTCACACACTCTCTTAGCACAAATGGCTAGATGTCTTGTCTTTCATTTAAATCTCCAGGCTTTCGCCCAATGCATTAGACTTGCTCATGGCTCAGGCACCACAAATGGAGGTCCCACCAAGATCGGGAAAGAAAGAAGACCCTGAGAGATCACCCTCGGGGCTGGCCAGTATGAAAGGATCTATGAGGGTGAATTGAAAATTGGTACCTCAACTACTTCTGATTATTCTTGAGTCAGTTTCAGTAGTCCAGGTCTTTCTAATAATTTATCATTTTCATCTGGTTTTCCAATTTCATTGCTATAATTATTTTTTAATTCCATAAAGTCAGGAGTGACTTGTTTTTGATTTAACATTTTACTAAGTGTTTGCTTATTCTTTACCAGTATTAAAGGGTTTGCCAATAAAGAACTTTTCATAGAACTGAATTTCAGTTTATATAGTTACCCTATTGTTTGCAACAATGGGACTTATGTAAACAGCAACGAAAACAGAATGTGAAGAAGCAGCATTCCATTTTAAACCCCTAGATAATTTTTAATGGCCATTTCAAAAGACTCAGGGCAAAATTATGACTGTCAAAAAGGGCTATATGATTACAATGATTTAGAGTGACTTTAGACCCCTCCCACCTTGTTCCTCAACACTTGAAACCCAAGAGAATACCTTGCCAATACATGTTTTGTCAGACACCCTATGTGTAGGAAACAGAATGAGGTTTCTTGTAATTGTTTTGACCAAATGGCAGATTATTTTGAGGCTGGTTTTAGAAAAGACTAGTGGAAAACTCTCAGTGTTTGAGGAGAGAATGTCAGTCCTATTATTTTTTAGTCTTTTAAGAATACACAAGTAAAATACATTTTTCTAAATAGCTGTAGAAACATGGCTGAATCAGCAAAGACAGACAAATGAAAGTCCAAGCGCTTTAGGAAAACACAAATAATACACTCACCATTCAATATCCAAGGCATATCAAAGATCACTATTTTTGCTGAAAGACAGAAAAAAGTCACTCAAATCAAGTTAGTATGTTGTAGAATACTATTTTAAGGTGTGTTACATTTGTTTGTGCTCTGGAACATTTGTTTAACAATGTAAAGATGTGTTGCTTTTTTTTATGCTGCATTTGTTTAACTCTGTGAAGCTGTGGTTCTTTACCTGTCCAAATCACCTAATGGTTTAATAAAGAGCTGAATGGTCAATAGTAAGGAAGGAGAAATGATAGGAGGGGATGGCAGGCAGAGAGAATAAATAGAAGAGTAATCTGGGAAAAAAGATGGAAGAAGGGAATGATCTACATAGAAGAGGAGGACTTCAGGGCTAGCCACCCAGCCACCTAGCCAGCCAGGGAGTAAGAGTGAAAGTAAGATATACAGAAGAAAGAAAAGGAAAAAGCTGAGAGGCAAAAGGCACTTGGGATAATTTAAGAAAAGTTGGCTAGAAACAAGCGAAGCTAAGGCTGGGCATTCATAACAAAGTATAACCCTCCATGTAATTTATTTGGCAGCTGGGTGGTGGATCCCGAAAAGAACAAAGACCAAAAAGAAAAGCCTAACTACATTTAGTACTTCTATAATATTCTACCAGTTTGACCCGATCTAGAAAAAACTACTATGTGAGGAAAAATTGAGTTGACTGACCAAATTTTAATTCAGGGAAGTATGAGTGGTGCTGGGACAGACCAGCAACTCACAGTGGGGAAGGGTCATTGTTCTTTGGCAAACAAAGCATTCCTTTGTTCATTTACTAATTTTGCTGCTTGAACAAAGGTACATAAGAGAATTGTTAAGGGGACATGGTGTGACATGTCAGATCAGTGCTGAAAGCTACCGCACTTTAAAAACATTATTTACCTGTCTAATTTATGGCTTCACTTATAATTTCCTTGAGATTACATTGTTAAACTAGTCACAGAGCTCTCCCTTCATTCTGATTCTAAGAAACAGAAACTACTTTTTTCTGAAATGTTATGAGCTCCAGGAAGCCAACAATTCCAAAGTACACAGAACTGTTATTTTACAGATGGAACTGAGCACATTAAGTAGCGCTGTCAACACCTGTGGGGAGGGGAATCAGAAAGAAGAAAGGAGATTTGTGGTAGCCAATTCATTCTTCTATTCCAGATGAATCAAATATGTAATTTTATTCTTCTCTGAGCAGAGAACCCCATAGAATGTTACACAAAAGTAGCACAAAGTGAAGTGCACAAAAAGAACATGGTAGCAGTAAGAGGGAGCCTGGTGCTCTGTATTCATCTGGGGTATAATTAAGGTATAATAGTTCATGGCAGGTTTCGAAGAACAATCAGTTTAAGAGGCTATAAATTCCAATGTCTGCAAAACCACATCATTTTGGTAGAACACAGACATCATCTGTAGTTAACTGAAATGAACAATATTATCATTCACCTTTATATAAATCCAAGAATAGTCATTTCAAAATAATCCTGGAATATTTGATAAATAACTATACTTATACTTTTTCTCAGTGGCTCATCACAAATGCTTTTAAGGATTTCAGTCGACAGATATTTTAGAAGGCTGGATGTATTTTATAAAATAACACTTATATCAGTATTATTACATGGCTCATCAACACAATGTCCTTTAGATCCTTCAATAAACAAGCATTTCAGTTTTGTTTTGTCATAAAAGAAGCATGTTAATAACACAAAGTAGTAATCCTACAGTGTCCATTGATGGGCACTGCTCAGCAAGATTTAATAAGTCAGGAAATGAGCCACATACACAAGGAACAGTAGATCAGTCAAGTTTCCCAACCTGGACCTTGTCATTCTCTTTACAAACACTCACAAACGGTCTCTAAAGGAATTGCAGTATAAGGTTGTAGGTGGTGCTGATTCTAGACATCCATTACACTTTTAATTACCCAAGAGACCCTAATTGTGGTATCACAGGAATGTGCACAGGCAGTTTTGTGAATTTCCATTTTGATAACCTTTTGCATCTCCTGCCTTTTCAGTTTTACCAAACTGGAGTTAAAAATATTTGACTGTTATGTGTTGGCCATTTATTTTCCCATAGGGAACCCATTACATAAATGAGCATAAAAGGCTTAGGAAGAGTTCATTGTTTGTGTCATTAATGGGAGAATTACCAGTAAAAACAAACAAAACAAAGCTGAGTATGTTATTCAGTAGTAGAACATTTGCCTGGCATGTGCAAGGCCCTGGGTTCTATCTCTAGCACCATAATAAAACAAAACAGTATGAATCTCTCTAAACACCAGAGTCAAATATAGTACATTCTGATTCAGTATTTTCTTAGCGCCAATTTTAAAACAGCAATTAGTAACATACTGTATTTATTTTTTGTAAAATGTACCCTATCAGTACTGCTTATCTCTTCTTACATACAGCAGGTTCCATATACTAAATATAATTTTAAGGAAAGATCAGTACAAATGGGTTCATGTTGCAATTCAATATATAATTGCACACAGCTGTGTGTTAGATGTTACAGGATGTTTTGGCATTTAAAACTTCACTTGCGCCATCAACTGTAAAGGAAAACTACTTCAAAAAATTGTCTGTGTATCTACTACGATAAGAATTTACATGTCTACCTAGGAATTCATTTAACATGCTTCATCAGAAAACAATTTCAGACATGAGAGTCTACAATATAAAGCTTTATAATATTTAGACATCATCTATAATTTCAACATATTATAATTTTACAAAGGAGTAAGTTACTTACAGAGGTATTTGGGGTAATACACCTTAAAGCAGTTGATGATAAAGCGTACAAAGTCCATGTCCTAAAATAAAGATTAAAGCTTTAAGACTGTCAAAATTAGAGAACTTCAAATTATACATTTCAAAAGGTGATAACTTATTAAATGCAAGTGAGATGATGATTTTTCTGAAAAGATAAGCTAATCTAAGTATCTATAGCCCCAAGGGTTAAGGTTTTAGGTCATCAAGCTAAGAATTGGCTCTGAAAATGAGGTGAAGAAATCAGACTAATACTGGTATTTTAAAAACTATCTGTATTACTTCAAACTAGTTATATGCTTCAGGCTACAAGAGCCATGGGATATGCAATGTATATAAAAGTGATCCTCACTCAGGCACTCTAAAATTCTACTGAACAACTAAAAAATTATTGAAAAGGGTATATAGCTCATAACGGACTAACTGAAATAATATATATGCACTCATTTGTAACTATACATATACATGGTATGGCTTAGTATTTACTTCCCAAGTCTAATTTTTGCATTATAAGAACTTCACTAAAAATATTGTATTAACTTTTTACACAGTGATCCCACTGATAGAGCCTGCCAGGTAATTTTTATTTAAGAGAACTCAGATTAGTTTTGTTTTTGTTTTTTAGTTTATAATCACGTGCTGTTCATTTGTTCCAGTTGTTAGGAGACTTTATTAAGCAGCTGTCTGGTTAGCTCTCTTGCTTCATTTATAACAACAGGAAATTAGGTCATTAGGGATACTATCCATGTTTCATTCCTCATATTATTCCATGTTGCAGGCGGTTTCATTAATCCTGCTCAGCCACCTTCTAATACTGCTAGTCTGAAGAGCTAAGCAGACAAGCTGAAAGCCAGGATAGCTACTAAACAGCTGCTTATTCTAGATAGGACAGGCTGTAAAGTCATTCCTAACATATGAGTTGCAATACCTTTAATTACAGTAAACTGAAAGTAAGCATCACCAGCTATAACAATTTAATACAGGAGAAGTCCTAGTATACATATAATACCTTTATTAATATCCATTATATCTACTGGGCATAGTTTCAAAAATCTATAGCTAAGTAAGAGCCAGAAAAGGGGCATAAAAACTAGCTGTATAAAATTTTGGTTACCTATTTTAAAAGCCGTGGCCACTCTCCGATACTCTTACTAGTTAGTCTTCATCTAGTAGTCATTACCATCATTTATTCAACTGAATGTCCTTGTTCATAAGCATTTGCATTACTGCCAACTTCAGGGATTTGACATCAGTGGTGTGTGTTTACACTGGGTACTAAATAACATAGCCCCACGAGACAGCTTGTTGTATAATCTCTCAGGGTGTTTTTCAGAATGGTATCCTTATCACATAAAGTATCCATCCTCTGATGAGGCATATAAGATATTTCTTTCTACTTCAACTGCTGAGATTGGATACACTTCTCTTAAAATGTTGATAATTTAAAGTCTAGCTATTTGTATAATATTAAAAGATTCCATTCTTTTAGCTAGGAAGCTGAAAGGCCACAGTCAACATAGTAGTCCAACTCATATTAAAGCATATTTTATGCAACTTTATAGGCTGACTTTGTGAATCATAAAAATAAATTGTTTAATAAAGATTCAGCTGCTATATAACACTAATAATGACTGAAATATGTAACAGGACCAATACTCTTTCTTTACAAATTAGAAATGACATTATATAAGTTGCTTGAAAAACCATCAGATAGCTCCTGTCAATTCACTACATTAGGTAACAGAAAACATTAGCATACATTACTCATGGTTGCGAGGTAAAAAATAGGTAACTATGGTACCTAAAGAACAAAAGAATCATAATCTACCTTTATTGAATGTTGACTTACCTAAATAATTTTAGCTTCATTTAGAATATAAAATATATTATTTTGTAATTTATAATCCATTCAATGGAAACTACATTTTTTAAAAATACAGGGTATTAGATTCTTAATGTGAGAAAACATTCTGCCATCTCCCTCCTAAAGCTCTTTTTAATTGTTCTCTCTAACCTGGTTTTGTTGTTGTTTAAATCTAAGACATTGGACTACACAGCTACATACTATAGTAAAACAGTTCTTTTTTTAAAAAATCTTATACAGGTATTCGCCAATATTATTACAAGTTTCCCACAAATATGTAATTACATATACTCTATCAAGTAGGTATGACATAATTTACCATCTTGCCATGTTGGACATCTAGACTTTTTCCTAATCTTTCAGTATTCTTTGAGGCAGTCTCACTATGCTTTCCAAGCTATCCTTGAACTCCTAGGCTTAAATGATCTTTATATCTCACCTTCATAAATAGGTGTGGCTATTGGTGCACATAGAATAATTTGTTGTTATTGGTAGCTAGTGATTTAACAAAGTTTTCAGGTTGGTAATATCATCTGAAGAAAACTGGTTCCCCAAGCTTACTAAATAAAATAAATAAAAAACATTCAAGAAGTATACCCAAGTGCCCAACAAAAACACAGAGCATGGCATGAGGCAAACTCACATGAACATCTTGTACCCTCAAAACAAGGCAAAACATATAAACGCCATGTGTTTATTCAATATTTAGTGACTGTGTTACTCTGTGCAAGGCATGGGGGTTGGTGCTGGCGTATATTAGCATGATAAAAAAGTTCAGTGTTCATCACAATGACTCATGCCCTGCCAGCCTCCATGTCTTACCTCTCCATCTTTTACACCAAACATGGAACATTGCTAGGACATATAGCATCTGTACCAAATACTGAAGCAAATTTAATTCTCTGCAAACCTGTTCCACATTTGACTTCACACATACTTCAAGGAGAAAAATAATCCTTCTGCTAGCTTCATTTTACAACAATATTTGGTTGGCAAGAATACAGGGAAAACAGAGGAAACCAGAGCAAACTATGATTTACAATTAATGAAGAATGTTTACCATGCTATTGAGTCCAGTTTCGGACATGTCAAACATCACTGTGATAGGCTTCCCATTTTCTCTCTTGGCATATCGTTCCAACCAGAATGCTATAAGCTTCTTTTTGTCCATTATGGTTTTCTGGTCTTTTATATGATACTTCACTCTGATCCACACTTTAAGCAGAACAACAGATAAAAATACGCATATTATTGGTGGCATTTCATTATGTATATATGTATGTATATCCTTCCCTTGGCATGTTCCCCCATTTATAATTCATCTTGTTCTGAATAAAAACATCTCTCCCCTCTTTAAAATGAGAAATGGTCACACTTGGGACCTTTAAATTAAAGAGTAGAAGAGAGGCGCACTAGTTTTTTCTCCTTTAGAAAATAAATAGACATCACTTTTAAGTGAGCTGAAGAGAGAATGCAGGCGAACAAACACCATTTTGCAATAACCTAGAAGTGCTCTTCACTATGCTTAAGAGGAAAGCCACTGGTCTGATCAAACGCTAGAAAACATGTTCCACCCAAAAGAGACACAAGACAAACAGGAGGGAGGCCTGGGGGAGTGCCATGCAGGGGAGTGGGAGCCACAGAAGCTTCAGTGGTGGCAACTAAGGGGAGTGGAACATGCAAACACTTCAGGTGGTGGCAGCTAAGACTGGAATGGGTTGCTGAGAAGAAAAGCAGACAGAGGCAGGGGACGCCTAGATGACTTTGGAGTCCTAGCTTCATTTTGGTTTTCCTGTTTCAAAACCTAGCTTGGGTAGTGCCATAGAGGTTGGAGTGGAAGAGGCCAGGGAGGAAACCTATCTGGTCACAACCTGGGAAGGAGCTGACAATAGGGAAGCAGGATAGGCAGGACTGAACTGAGGAAGTGACTTGTGAAGATGAAACGGCATCAAAAGGAAGTTAAATTGCAGGGAGTCGAGAAATGGACCAGAGCTGAACAATCCAGAAGGAATGTGAGTGACAGGACACCAGTGTGAGTTGTAGATTATATTGAAGGCAGCTCACAGTCAAGAGACACCAGCTGGCAGGCAGCTGGGTATGAGGCAAGTAGCTTGGGAATTGCATGGAATCCGCACTGTGAGTTGGGAAGTTGCCAAAGCTGGTGTGTCTGAGATGATCCCACGGGACAGTATCAGCTGCAAAGTATAAGAAACCAAGAAAAGAACAGGCTTTGGGAAACATGTTTCAGGGGCAAACCACAGAAGATGTTTGAGAAAAGGAGACTGAAAAAGAAGAGGCAGGAATAAGAGGAATATGCACTGTACCGTCAAAATATAGTGCAATTCACAAGCTAAAGAAAAGGCAAGCAACATGTACATAGGCTCTCCTACCCTTAGCACCAACTCAAGCTATATTTGGGCGAGTGGAAAGGAGGATAAGAAAGTCATCTGAACAACTGATGACTGCTACTCTTCTTCCCATTACTACCCATATTTCAGAAAAAGCTAAGAGGAGACCAGGAGAGACTTAAAAGCCCATTTTGCATATTTAGCAACTGTCAAAAGATTCTCCATAAAAAATAAATATAAGGTGGAGTGCTAACAGCAGCGAGAAAGAAGATAATGACTAACTGAAATGACTTTGACTACTGCTCCGATGCCATGCCTACTTGCCTGCCTGTTACCATACTGCTCACCATGATGGTCATGGACTCTAATCCTCTGAAACCATAAGCCCCAAACAAACTCTTTTACTAAGTTGCCTTGCCTTGGAAAAAATGTCTCATCACAGAAATAGACAAGCAACTAAGACATAGTGTCTGTGTTTGCTGTTTAGTTTGAGATAATGCAAACCATGCGTTGTTATTATTTGACAGAGGTAAAGATGGCCTCATACTTCTAGTTGCAGGACATTAGTTGCATATGCATATGGAAAAGTTCTGTGATTACTAATTGAGACACAGACATACATCTTCAAGTCTTGAGAAGCTGGGGTATGAATTGAATATACTTACATAATTTGTTGCCTTCTTTGTCATAACCGTGGAGATAAATACCACCAAGTTCTAATAACCATCTTGGAATAGAGGATTCACTGAGATCTAGAAAGAAAACTCACACTGTAAAGGTAATGTCACATAACAGTTCTACCATCACTTACTCAAACTTGAACAAGATTCAACTTACTTAAATCTTGAATAAAATATAACTTATTTAAAAAAATTAGAAAGAGTAGTTGGTAATACAAAAGATATTTCCTACTGAGAAAACAACTGACAAAATATTTACAAATGCTGGAAAGAACTGGGAAAACTCCCTTATTTTCGTGGATACCTTTGCAGATTTGGTTGGTTTTCAAATAATGATTTGATATTATCAATACATGTTAACACTAAGAGACCATTTGATTTAATGCTGGGGGGATCTGGGTGTAGTTCAGTGGTAGAAGGGTACATGTTTAGCACAGACAAGGTCATGGATTCTATCCCTAGGTTCCCTCTAAACAAACAAAAGCTACATTAATAAAATATTCACACAACCTTAGAATGTAAGGGGGAAACATCACTGTTTTGTCTAGCAAGATGCCATTTTCTCTCTGTTCCCTCTCTTCCTCTCTAGCTCTCCCACACCGTGTGTGTGTGTGTGTATGTATGTATGTATGTGTGCATGTGTGTGTGTGTGCGTGTGTGTGTATGTATGTATGTATGTATGTATGCATGTGTGCATGTGTGTGCATGTGTGTGCGTGCATGCGTGTGTGTGTGTGTGTGTGTGTGTGCTGTTTTCCTCTATCACTCTCACCTTATTTTTGGGAGAGTCTCTCAGTAAGTTTAGAGCTTGCTGACCTGATTTGGTTATACTAATACAGTAGCTGGCCAGCAAAGCCCCCTGGGATCCTGTGTCCACCCCACTCTCCACCGTCAGCACTCAGATTACAAGTGCATGTTGCCATGCCTACCCTTTGAAGTGAGTGCTAGAGATCTAAACTTAGTCATGCTAGCTTGTGCAACAGATATTTTACCTACTGTGCTGCCTCCCTACGTCCAAGATGGTATTTTGTGCAAAGTTTTATATACAGAAAACTAATTATTTAGAGCAGGTGGAAAATAATTCAAGAAACAATATGAAATTCGGGAAAAATAAACAACAGACCTAACTGGTCTCTAAGAGAAGTTGAGGACCAATGTGGCAAGGCAGCACATGGAAGGGGTTGTTTCATTTGCCAGCACTTCCCAGAGAACTTTCAAAATTTCTCTCTCATTCCCTCTGCCTACCTCATATCTTTCCTGTGTGTCATCAGAAACTAGCAACCTGTACAAGCATACACACATTGTTGAATTTAGTACCAGATTCTCAATGAGCTAAAAAAGAAAAAAGCCACACACACTTTACTCCGAATAAGTTTATTCTGCCCGTGATTTAGAAATTGCAGATATGTGCTTCTTTTCTTGAGTAATATATGTTTCTTTGTTTGAATTGCCTACAGTTTTACATTTTGTATCATTTTACTTTTTAGATTTTAGGTATGCCCTTTCTTGTGGACTCCAATAAAAAGAATGGGGAGAAAATTAGCTCTAGACTTGTTGGCCATTTTGTATTAAGTCTTTAGACTCAGTCACTCCAGAGTTCATAATCTTCTATGACAGGCAATGCTTTATAGGTAGTGAAATGGGCAGTCGTGTCTACTTATTCTTGTTAACATTTTAGAGAGAGACAATAGGTAACATTCCCTGCAGAATTCTTCATATATCTGAAAACTACTATAAACTTCCCTCTAAGATTTCAAACACCCATTTTGATGACGAATTTCAATCTAGTGGAAGAATTTGGAGAAGGCTGCCACAGGAATCCTTGGGGACAAGCTTGCTTTGCTGGGCTCCTCAATCAGTTATGGAACACTCACAAGCACTTGGCACTCTGGGGATATGTAAGGGTATGGACAACAACTGAAAAAACAAAACAGGACAGCAATATCTTCTTATTTCTAGGCCTAATAGGGAAGATTATTTTGCTACTGTAATAGAATCAAACCAAACACAGATTAGGCAACCATGTTTTTAGTGATAGTGTGTGACTCGGTTCCCTGTCATCTGATTTTCTTATGAATGATTCTCCTTCTAAGATTTTGTCATAAACTGTCCTTTTGAACGTATAATTAGGCCCCTAAAAGTAATATTATAGTGTTTATGATGAATTCTAGGATGTGTACACATACAGACAAATGTCTAACAGTAACATTTATACAGATGGTGGTATTACCCTGTTGAGGTTAAGTCCAATAGCTTACCATTGACAGAAAATTCTTTTCTCCACTGAAAACTCTCATCAAGCATCTTCAATGTTTCATCCACAACGTTATGTCTCCAAGTTAAGTAACTTTCAACCCAGTTATCATCTTGCTGAAGCCTTTCAACATCACGTGGATCATATTTTTCTGACTTTTCTAGAGAAAAAAACAATAATGAATAGCTAAATCAGGTTAATTCTGCTGCGAAAAATAACAAAAATAATTGCAAAGGAGAAGAGAGATCTGGAAGACAAAGTCATACTTCTCCAAGACACACATGGAGATGTTTTTAGGTGAAAACTCAATCTAACGAACTGACTGTATTCCTAAGTGAGAACAGAGTAAAGTTATCTAAAGACTACAGATTGGAGAAGATGTGTAACTATATTGTTCAGGATGTCTTTGAATTCTTGGAGTTCAAGCGATCCTCCTGCCTCAGTCTTAGTAGCTAGAGTCACAGGTGTGTACTTGTGTACATGGCACAGAACGTCGTTTTTTAAAAAAGTCAAGGGGAAAACTGTCCATTACCAGAAGGAAAGAGTTTTTGTGAATTCTAAGGTGGTCTCCTACTTGTGGCTCTTCTTCCTTGGTATCCCAAGTACTGGGATTACAGGGGTGCACCAAGGAGACCAGCTAAGGAAGCAGCGATTTGGGGTCACAGTTTCAGATGTTTTACTCTGTGCCAACTTGACCAGTGATGAGGTAGTATGTCATGGCAGAATGGTACTAGAGAACAAAACCACTCATAACAAGGCAGACGGGAAGCAGAAAGAGAGCCAGCAAGGGGCCAGGGAATGGGTATACTATTCAACTGCACGTCCTCCCAGTGACTAACTTCTTCCAGCAAGGCTGTCTCTCAGCTATGGACTCATTGATAGATTGGTCCACTGACGAAGTCAGTGCCCTCATGATCCAGTCACTTCTCATCTGCTACCAGCTGGGGATCAAGGCCTTCAACGCACAAGCTTTTTCAGGGACTATTTCCCATTTAAACCATAACACGCAGCATCATCATGTTTGCAGACTCTGAGGCCAACATTGCCAATAATAATTATAATTGTGTGTTTTCATACAGATGTCATATTCCCCACTAACTTCTCTGCCAGATATTCTTCCTTGCATGCTATTCTCACTAGTTTACTGTAAGTGAATTCTTCTTGTCTCTCTGGAATCACCCCTACACATCAAATTCAAACATGTAGCAGCACTCTTTTCAGATACTTCTTCTTCTCACAAATACTTCCTGTGACCAAAGGTCATTCTTCAGTGAGCAGCAACGGATCTTCATTTAAGTTTTTCTTAAGGCATTCAACAATATTTATCTTGAAATCGAGTTACTGGTATGCATTCCATCTTTCCCAAATCAACAGTAAGGTTCACAGCCTGTACATCTTATGAATTCTCCAGAGCAGATGACACAACAGTTATTGACAGACTCTATTCTGTCTTTACTTTTAGCTTCTTCTTCAGTGCTAAAGCAAACAGTTTTAGAAATTTCTCTGGCTTCTACAATCATTTTCTTTCGCAAGTATTTAGTTGCTAAGTTGTGCAGTGTCTACCTCCTCTCCACTTGCACTGCCTTTAGTTCAGGGCCCTTAGATAATAGATGAAAGGGCAGGAAAAGTACAAAGTGCATTGAGACAATTAACCTATTTAGGTCTCCCCTTTTTTCATCTGCAAACTGTTTTATCTACTCAGAGGGCTGTGTGAGGGTCAGATGAAAAAGAATGTATGAAGTACTTGGAAATTTAAAACACCATAAAATATGAGATCATAAATCACACATTTGTGGAATGTCATCTGGGGTATCGATTTTAATATATGGGTCCTATTTTTCTAATCTATAAAATGAGTGGTTCCATAGTACATAAACTTTAGGAAATAGTTTTAGCTCTGTAATTTGAAAATTCATTAGTATTCCAAGCACATTTTCCTTTAATTATAATTGACATTTGAGAGCATAAGATGACTTTAAAAGAGTTAATATAGGCTCTGTCTTATTAAGGAGGGATCATGTCGTTGGCCGTTGTACCCATAGGATATTTTCCTTAAAATTACAGCTGCCTTCATCCACTTGCAGGAAAATGTCTGCCACATATCCAAGTTAGCATAAGCACAGTTTATTTGTCAGTTCTTCTTCGAATAAAAATTAAAAATGGTGGTCAGTGAAAAGGGAACAAGTAATTTCCCAAGTCAAACACACTTAGTATGTTATACGCGTACACCCCCTTTTTTTCTCACAGAAGATTAAAGGCACATGTCTTCAAAGGTTAATGGTTAATAAAATACACTGTATCATTAAAGTCATTCTAAAATAAGTCTGGCTTTTCTCTCTTCTTTTTTCCTGAGCACGATAAGCACAATGAATACTTTTCTTGGCTCTGGTCATAGTCAGCAGTTTTACCTGCTATTGCTTTTGTATAATCAGTACACATGTCAGCACAATGAAAAAAAGCAAATGATACCTTAGAACTATAATGAAAGCCATTTGACCTCACAGGTTTCTGGAAGTGTCTTGGGCATCCACTTGGGTCTTAGACTATATTGAAAAGTACTTTCTTAGAAAGACATTTGTAAGTGATACATGCTCAGTAAAAAATAACCAAAATAAAAATGAGGAACCATTATTGCTAACATTAGTTATTACTACTGGTAACACTATCATAAGACACTGACCCATACTAGAATTTTCTTCTTTTTCTTTTTGGTTTTCCAAGATAGGGTTTCTCTGTGTTACAGTTCTGGCTGACCTGGAACTCACTTTGTAGATCAAGCAGGCCTCGAACTCACAGATCTGCCTGCCTCTGCCTCCCAAGTGCTGGGATTAAAGGCGTGTACTACCACCACCCTCTTCCTGTGATAGTTTTCATGGATACCAATCTCTGCAATCAGAAGTTTCCATTAACGTTATTATTAATAGGAATGTATTTACACAGGAAATGCTGTTGTTGCTGTTTTAACCATTTAGCCCTGGACAAGCAGAAATGAAATCAGAGAAGGGAAAGAAATGAGAAAGAGATAGCTGGAGAGGAGAAGAGGTAGGGTTTAGCAGAGAGAGGCAGGAGAAAAGTCGAAACAGGGATAAAGAACAAGAGGAAATAGGGAAAGGGCCAAGGGAGGAAGGAGGGGGTGAACACAAGATGAGAGATGTGGGACATAAGGCAGATGGGAGGAGGAGAACGAGAACAGAGAAGAAGGTGAACAGTCACCATTCTGTAGCTTTGGATCGCACAGTTAAGGGACATCATTAACTATACTTACTACAACAAAATCCACTCTTTTCTTTTGAAATCATTATGTTATTCATCTATTTACTTGGATGTTTATAGTGAGCACGTGTGTATGTGTGGTGGTCAGAGGACAACTTTCTCGAGCTAGCCCTCTCCTTCTGCCATGTGTGTTCTAGGAAGTGAACTCAGTTTGTCAGAATTGGTGGTACACACCTTTACCCATTAAGCCATTTTGCTAACCTCCACAATCTCCTGTTTTCATACATAGGTCTTAGATTCCCCCCATGAATCTTTATGACAGATCGGATGAAAGTCCTGACAGGGATTTGCGAGAGAAGTACAGACTGTGGATGTGTTAAGTATGGAAGTCATTGGGAAAAAACAAAAAACCCACTCCCTTAGCAGTTGGCCACAATCTACTCTGAATCTCTCCTCCTCCGTCGAGCTATGTGGAAGACTGAGTGAAAGGTGATCTTCTATGATGAACAAAGTCTCGAGTTGTAGCATGCATCAGAACCACTAAGGGCTGTTAACACAGGCACTCTTGGGTTCCCTACCTAGATGGTGAATTTTGGAGGAGATCCAAGAATCAGCAAGCTGGAATAAGGACCATATCTAGTGAACCTCTGGTTGGCTGCAAGGTTTGGCAATTCCCACCACCCCACCCCATGTAGGGTCAGATGGTAAATATCTTAAACCTTGAGGGACACAGATACCCCGTTGCCAATTCCTTGTATGTGTATTTAAAAGCGCTTTAAAATACAAACCAAACCAAAATAATTGTCAGGTGAGAGCTGTATAGAAACAGGCCTTGGATGATCTCTAGTCAGTTGCAGGGAAGGTGGAATTTTGTGCTTCATTTGCTTTCCTTCAAGAGCACCAAAGACTAAATTTTTACCAGTTTATCCAGGCTAAACAGACTTCATGGATTTTGTCCATTCATACATATTATGGCCTGTGTCAAGGCCTCAGTGCAGACTCATTATATACAATTTGGCATTTGCTCTACTTAGTCCAAGTCAAATGGGACAATGTGGGGCTCACCTCATTAAAAATCCAAGCCTGGTGACACAAGCCTGTAACTGCAGTTATTCAGAGGCCAGGACTGCAAGATCACAAGTACAAGGCCTAAAGGCCTACCCCAGCTACACAGTGAATTCAAGGATAGCCAGGCAACTTAACTAGATACTTTTTCAAACTAAAAACTGAGAAAAAGAAAGGCTAAGTAATACAACTCAATGGTAGAATGGTAGTGTGATAGCTTAGCCTGTATGAATCCTGGGTTCAATCTCCAATTCTCTCTCTCTCTCTCTCTCTCTCTCTCTCTCTCTCTCTCTCTCTCTCTCTCTCTCTCTCTCTGTCTCTCTCTGTCTCTCTGTCTCTTTCTGTCTCTGTCTCTCTGTCTCTCTCTCTCTCACACACACCCATAGGGAAATACTATTCATGAAAAATAAGCAACAAACATTCATTTTAAGGAAATAGCTCCTTAAACCACAGCTGCAAATGTCAGAGTCCCTGTGTAATGCGGGAGAGGGCATGCGGGAGTGGGGCTAATGCTGCGCTACTGTGCTGCTAAATCGCTCCTTCCCCTATTGTCAAGAGCACATGTTAGGGCTGGAGATGTAGTTTATTGGTACAGTGCCTTCCTAGCTCAAGTAAGGGCCTAGGCTCCCTAGTGTCGCATTACATTTTTTAATCAGAATGAGTATTCCCATGTAAATCTGCTCCCCTCTCCACCAACCCTGACATTTCTCAGAGTCCAGATCTCCAATAATAGATTGCATTGTTCTTGCCCTTTTGAAAAGTTAAAAATTTACAGAACAGAAAATAAAGTTATCAAATACCGAGGCAGCAAAGACCCAGAATTGAAAAAAAATTAATAAAACAAAACCAACCTAGCTTACTGGCTTTGACTAAAATTACCCC